GTTAATAAACAATGTTGTATATCATAAGTGTCGTAATTTTGTTTATTATCAAACTTCGTTTTCCTTCGAACACATCGATTGCTAGTAACAAATATATTTTTCATGTGAATATACGTTATAGTCACTATAAGAAAAAATAATAATAATATAATTACTACAGCGTCTAGATGAAAGCGTTAATACCTTACGAATTGGAGTGCCTTTTTGCCTGAGTTTCCCAGTAAAAATGTTGAAGATGTCAAACCACGCGTTCGAATGTTGTTTCCTGGCATTTTTCACCTTTCTATCTTCTTGTCGGCATCGTGACTTATTTATCTGTAGGTTTTAATGAAAGCATACTTGAGTTCAAATATTTAAAACAACGTAATTTGTCATTTACTTGTCTTTAGTCCTTCAGATAATGTGGAATCAAATTTAAAACATAAAAATTGTTTTGGTTTGCACTTTTGGCGAAAGGTGCATAATATATTATGTATGCTGTGTTCACTGCGAGTATCGAACTCTGAATTTTAGCTATCCGCTGAGTCACTGGGCGGGGCGTAAACTTCTAAATTCGAAATGATCCATCAAAAGACATGTGAAAAACAAGAAATGCACATATTATGTTGATTTTGAGTTATTATCTTTCCTCCGATTACTCAGCGGTAAGAACAAGGGCCTATAACGTTAACATTCAGGGTGTGATCCTTCTGAAGGACAGAATGTAGATATAACCTCTTGTTTAACTTTACTCTTAAACAAACAGTTCTTATCTTACAATGAAAACAAGCAAATTGAAAAATATTAACACAGCTGTTAACCGAAAACAACTGTTACAAAAGTTACAAGAAAATTCCTTTCTCTTATTACCTTCGCCCTCTCTGGGATTGAGGGTATTGCAATCGGGTCTGTGTGTGTGTTTGTCTATGTTTCAGCGCGCGTATCTCAAAACTAATAGGCTGAAGTATGCGAAACTTTTACCCAAAATGGGAAGTCAGAATGGGAGAGTCCTCCCCAAATTTTGTTCTGATGCAGATCCAGATCCGGTTTCTGGATCACTTTGAAGCATTTTTTTTTATAATGGGGAGAGAGAGGGCAATTTCGCGGTTTTGGGTTAATAACTCTGTAAATTGTGATTGGATTTGTATCAAATTTCATGGGCACATTAAGGTTCAGGCACCTCAACACATTAAAAAAATGATCCGGAGCGTTGATCATTCTGGGTATGAAAAGGATTTTCAGAGTTTTCGAAGGTGAAATTTGACGCTATACAATATAAACGCATGCAATCTCGAAAAGGAGCGGCGGGGCGAAGGTATGCAATATTTCTGATTGCTCTTGTTAATAATAGTTATAGTCTCTTTCTAGTATCGGTACTAAAATATTTACCAGTCCTTGCAACGTATTCAATTATTAAGAAGAGCAAATATACTCCACCCCTCCAAGTGGCTTAGCGATAAGCTAGAGGGCTTATACGTTAAAACCCGGGTTTAGATACCAGTGGTTGGCAAAGCGCGGATAGCCTATTGTGTAGCTTTGTTCGTAAATTCAAACAAACAAATAAAAGGCAATTATAAAATAAATTGTAAATCTTCTTGATCAAGTTAGTTTAAGAAAGCTTTGAAAATATTGAATACGTACTGCCATATAATCTAAATTATTCAGATTAATACATGTGAATATAGGTTCTAAACTTTGGTGTGTTCATTTCAAATTTCACTGGAATATTGTCTTTAATTATAACATTAACTGAATCAAAACGTTCATATATATTTTGGGCTAGTGACCAAACATTTGGTATATCTATAATACAACTGTTCATATATTATGACATGTGTTAAACTTTATCATTTTCTGCTTGTCTCCTCAGCCTCTTATAAACTTGCCCCCCAGTGGCACAGCGGAATGTCTGCAGACTTACAACGCTATAAACTGGGTTTCGATACTCGTGGTGGGCAGAACACAGATAGCCCTTTGTGTAGCTTTGTGCTTAACTACAAACAAACAAACTTATAAACGTACATCAACAAAATCAAAAGAGATTAAGATCATTCCTTACTGAAACATTTTTTGTTCGAAATTCATGTTGGATTCATATTTACCTATAACATACTCTCGCTGGCTCAGCTGTAAATCTAAGGGCTTATAACATTATATATATATATATATTCCATTACGAGAAATTCCCAAGATGTTACTTAACACATATAGTTAATTAAAATTTGATCTTTACCTTGATTGAAGGCATATGATTTCGTTTCTTCCACTCCTTTATTTTCATTTCAGCTTCAGTCATGGTGGTACCGTTTTCATACACCTCCGTAATGGATATCAATTCTTGTTGAGATGTGTTAATACAACATTCACTATACAGAGGAGAATCCACCTGTTGTTCTTCTACTTTCTCTTCTAAAATTGTTCCTGAATTAAGAAACTTAATGTCATATAATTAGTATACCTCTTTAAGAGGGCTTAAACACAACTACAAATAAGCGCAAAGAATATTCTCTCTTGATTTACATTGTCATCCACAAAACAGGAAGGAGTAAAACTGTTGTCCATGAGTATATGCCGTTGAAATGAAGAGAAACGGAGTCTTAAAGCTAGTTAGAAATATAATCAGCTGTCAGATTGATCAGTAAAACTAGTTTAAAATGGAATCAGCCTTCAGATTCACCACTAAGACTAATTAAAATAGCACTTGGTTCCCAAATTGATCATTAAAACTTTTAAAATCTAAACTAGCTCTCAGGCTTATAAACAAACCTAGTTTTAAACTGAACTTGGCTCTCAGACTGATCACTAAAACTAATTTACATGGTACATATAGCTCTAAGGCTAATCACTAAAAACTAGTTTATAACGAACCTCTAAGGCTGATCTCTAAAACTATTGAAAGTATGATTAGTTTCTTTAGTAATGATCCGTCGGAAGTGTAATTAATTCTTAGGCAGATGACAGTTTGAATAAGGATTTAAAAAAGTTATGTTCGTGGAACCACTCATAAAAACCGATATATTTACATCTATATCAATACAACCAAGAGTTCTGCTTGATAACAAAAATGCTGAAACGTCTTGCGTTTAATAACTTGATAATGGTTTATATTTCCTTTGTAAAAGTTGACTTTTAAATTGGAGAGTGATAAATAATTTCAGTTAAAACAGTTTTAAATAGAATAATTTTATGATCTGTAAACTGTGAATGTGAAGTGTAGTGAACTACAAAAATTGAATAATTCAAAACAAAGTCACGGATGAAAATATTTTCAACTGCTTAACGTCTATACTTTGATTACGTGTTTACATACTAGCAGAGACCCGCAAAACATTTGCGGTCAAATTAGTATCTTCTCTATTGCATTGCAACAGTACTTCTTTAAATACGGGATTTCTAGAGTAATACAAAAGAATTCTAATAGCAGACACTGAAATTTATATGTCCACTTGTCCTAGTCCTAACACTAGTTAAGCCTTCATTAAGTACGGCCTATATTCGATAAAGAGATAAATTAACAATGTAACTTGTGTACGTTTTTTGCTTTAGTTCAATTAGGACTGAACCTTACCGCACTTAATACTATCAATAGATAATCTTCTAATATTATTCTACGACCTAACGTTAGACCTTTTTCAAAACTTTGATAAACTTTCCATGTGTTCTATAAAATCTCTACTAAAGTATATTTACAACATTTCTGGCGTAATTCGACGGTTTAACAAAAATACGTTTTCAAACTGCGAAAAAAGTGCATTTTTTCTGTACATTTTAGTCCAGATATATCGTTAATTTTCGATCAATCGTAGACTACTGGCTTCTAATTGACAGGAAGCCAAACTACTTAAATTACGTAATAAGTTGCTATGACATCAGTGCGTGACCAAGAGACAGACAAACAGACAGATACACACTGTGTTTTATAGTATTAGATATGTATGTGTGTGTGTACATATATATCAGGCAGGCGGTAGCACTGCCTATGTAGGGATGGCTCGGATTGTTCACCGAGATGGTATTTTAAATATCTCCTCAATAGGTCATCAGAATTTTACAATACTGTACAGTACTTCCTTTTATAACAATATCTATGTAATGACTGAGTCACAAGTTCTGGGAACGTCTGTAAATATCACAGCAAAAAAATTGAATTTCTTGTTCTTCTGTTTTTTTCATTACATGATACATCAAAAACAAAAACAATGGCGTCAACCAATTTCACTGAGGTGACATAGTTTGAAACGGAGTATGTGCTTTTATAAGTATCATTAACTAGTAGTAATTAAAATAAATCATAATTCTAGTGTAAACGATGTTATCTTTTCCCCTTGAAGTTAGCTTTTTACAGAAATGTGATGTTCTTTTAAAAAGCTTAAGTACAGGGTGAATCAGGAATTACCAGCAAATAATAGATAAACAATGAA